CTCCGGGCAGCTGAGCGGAAATGGAAGAAAACTAGACTCCCTGCAGACCTGGCATCTTTTCACTCCCTCCTCTCTACATTTTCTTCATCTGTTTCTGCTGCTAAGGCCACTTTCTACCACTCTAAATTCCAAGCATCCGCCTCTAACCCTAGGAAGCTCTTTGCCACATTCTCCTCCCTGCTGAATCCCCCCCCCCCCCCCCCCTCCTCCCTCTCTGTGGATGACTTCGTCAACCACATTGAAAAGAAGGTTGACGACATCCGATCCTTGTTTGTTAAGTCAAATGACACTGCTGGTCCTGCTCACACTGCCCTACCCTATGCTTTGACTTCTCTCTCCCCTCTCTCTCCAGATAAAATCTTGCGACTTGTGACGGCAGGCCGCCCAACAACCTGCCCGCTTGACCCTATCCCCTCCTCTCTTCTCCAGACCATCTCCGGTGACCTTCTCCCTTACCTCACCTCGCTGATCAACTCATCCTTGACCGCTGGCTATGTCCCTTCCGTCTTCAAGAGAGCGAGAGTTGCACCCCTTCTCAAAAAACCAACACTCGATCCCTCTGATGTCAACAACTACAGACCAGTATCCCTTCTTTCTTTTCTCTCCAAAACTCTTGAGCGTGCCGTCTTTAGCCAACTCTCTTGCTATCTCTCTCAGAATGACCTTCTTGATCCAAACCAGTCAGGTTTCAAGACTGGTCATTCAACTGAGACTGCTCTTCTCTGTGTCACGGAGGCTCTCCGCACTGCTAAAGCTAACTCTCTCTCCTCTGCTCTTGTCCTTCTAGACCTATCTGCTGCCTTTGATACTGTGAACCATCAGATCCTCCTCTCCACCCTCTCCGAGTTGGGCATCTCCGGCGTGGCTCACTCTTGGATTGCGTCCTACCTGACCGGTCGCTCCTACCAAGTGGCGTGGCGAGAAGTTGTCTCTGCACCACATGCTCTCACCAATGGTGTCCCCCAGGGCTCAGTTCTAGGCCCTCTCCTATTCTCGCTATACACCAAGTCACTTGGCTCTGTCATATCCTCACATGGCCTCTCCTATCATTGCTACGCAGACGACACACAACTAATCTTCTCCTTTCCCCCTTCTGATAACCAGGTGGCGAATCGCATCTCTGCATGTCTGGCAGACATATCAGTGTGGATGACGGATCACCACCTCAAGCTGAACCTCGGCAAGACGGAGCTGCTCTTCCTCCCGGGGAAGGACTGCCCGTTCCATGATCTCGCCATCACGGTTGACAACTCCATTGTGTCCTCCTCCCAGAGTGCGAAGAGCCTTGGCATGACCCTGGACAACACCCTGTTGTTCTCAGCTAACATCAAGGTGGTGATCCGATCCTGTAGGTTCATGCTCTACAACATTCGGAGAGTACGACCCTGCCTTACACAGGAAGCGGCACAGGTCCTAATCCAGGCACGGTCATCTCCCGTCTGAAATACTGCAACTCGCTGTTGGCTGTGCTCCCTGCCTGTGCCATTAAACCCCTACAACTCATCCAGAATGTCGCAGCTCGTCTGGTGTTCAACCTTCCCAAGTTCTCTCACGTCACCCTGCTCCTCCGCACACTCCACTGGCTTCCAGTTGAAGCTCGCATCTGCTACAAGACCATGGTGCTTGCCTACGGAGCTGTGAGGGGAACGGCACCTCCGTACCTTCAGGCTCTGATCAGTCCCTACACCCAAACGAGGGCACTGCGTTCATCCACCTCTGGCCTGCTGGCTCCCCTATCTCTGCGGAAGCATAGTTCCCGCTCAGCCCAGTCAAAACTGTTCGCTGCTCTGGCACCCCAATGGTGGAACAAGCTCCCTCACGACGCCAGGACAGCGGAGTCACTCACCACCTTCCGGAGACATTTGAAACCCCACCTCTTTAAGGAATACCTGGGATAGGATAAAGTAATCCTTCTACCCCCCCCCCCCAAAAAAAAAAAAAAACATTGTAAAGTGGTTATTCCACTGGCTATAAGGTGAATGCCCCTATTTGTAAGTCGCTCTGGATAAGAGCGTCTGCTAAATGACGTAAATGTAAATGTAAATGTAAGACAATGCTCTGTTCATTGGCTGATCGCTCCCGACCCATAGGAATCCCCGCCCAGTTGACTACTTTAAAATAGCTGAAGCCCTCAAAGGCAATGTCCATGCTAAAACGTGTTATATCCATCTAAAGTCCTCTTTCTAACTCTATTAATTGATTAGACTAGCACAAAGCCGCTATTTTGAAAGGTATATAAATGTTCTTTATCAGCCTTCTGTAATTTGTCTACCCTAAATTATGTGTTCATAGCCGTGGGAAGTAGGGGTACTGAGGGTGCTGATAAATCGAAATTAAAAGAACAATAATAATATACATATTAAACAAATATTACTCCTGTATGAGTGGAGAAAAATTCTCGTCAGCAGAGCAAGAGAAAAACACTCCTCATGGGGGGCAATCAGAGAGTGTCAAATTTAGTCAAGATAAACATTAATTGTTATTTTGATACGTGAGGTTTATTTGATCTAATAGAAGTTTCGTAATGCTTAGGTTGTTATGAGTGTACAGATATAAGTGTGATGCACGTGACATCCCGGCAACTTTGAGAAAAAATACTTTATATTGGAGTGTCCCTTTCGAAATTTGAGATGGTCTATGCGTATTCATGAGGCTATGCATATTCATGAGGATCACTCTCCATTGCGTACAGGCGGTTGACGTCAATATTTAACAAATTCTTCAAATAACGAGATGTAGCCACCAATCCAAAGAGAGGAATAGGCGGGAGCTTGTCAGCCCGCCTTCCGCTCTGTGGACAACGAATCCCATCATTAGGGCGGAGACATAAGTATCTCCTCATAATATCCATATCTCTGCTGTAACTCTTATTCATTACTGCAATTACATTACATTACAATGACCCATTGGACCTCCCCTTTAGCCTTGTGAGGCAAATGATCCGACGCTGCCCAAATGCTCTGTCTAAATGCAAATATGTCTCGCATGCAATACAGTTTTGGAAATACTTGGAACATAACTTTCATACAGTGCATTCAGAAAGTATTCAGACCCCTTTACTTTTTCCACATTTTGTTAAGTTACAGCCTTTTGGTGTTTGGTACACTTACCACATACAGTACCTATTTTTCAACATCCGGAAAATACCACTTTTCTATGGAGGACTAAAAGTGCCACAATTAAATAAATAAATACACCATTAAATAATTACCTAAATGTGTCATTAATTAATTAAAATTAGAATTAAATACATACATGTGTTATTAAATGTGTCATTAATTAATTCAAATACCGATTCATTTTATGTAAAATACATATATAATAATTTCACTATTTACATTTACATTTCATGGTCCTGCGTTGGAGTGCTTCCTGAATTACTTAAAACTGTCAAACTGACCCATCAAAAGTTGGTAGGCGGAACCTAACGCCTGATTGGTTACCCTCTGCATCAAGCCAAGACAAATCAATTCCGGATAATGTCAGCAGGTCCTGCTTCTACATCCTCTGCTAAGTTTAAAATGTCTCTAACCAACTCCCTGGAAAGTTCACGGAGATCCTCCATTGTCTCTATCCAGGTTGGCCTACTCTACTTCAGACCAAAGCAATGGATCAGACTAACGTCCTGGAATTGTTTTATTTTAAACATACGGAAGAACGGCAAGGCTGGCCCTGCGAGTAACCAGTTGTGTTCAGCACATTGCAATACATCAGGGTATATATATCAAGCACACTGGTAAAACACTGGTGTTGCAGTAATGAACATTTGCCAACAGATGGCATCAACGTGCCATTGTACACCCATAACAAGGGCTGGTCCATTTTTTTGTCCAGTGGGCCTGTCAAACGTAGGTTCTCTGCCTGTCGAAGTTGCATTATTTGGCTAATAATAGGTAGCGTCATACGAACCATCCCGATCTTGCGAGTTTACATTCTGTTTCACTACACGGATATCAGTATAGAAAAACAGAATGTAAACTCGCACGAGATCAGAATGGTTCGTACAAGGCTAAATAAAATGGGCTGGTGACTTCGAGGAAAAAAATGGTCCGGTGTGTTAGAAATGGAAGGGTCGATTTCTGGTTCCAGTCTGCCCCTGCTGCATACCTCTGGAGACCAGGGGCCATCACTAGTTAACACAGCCACAAAGTCATAAACCCCGCCTATTTCTAAAACAATTATTCTTAAAATCTGATTTTAAACCTAACCCTAATCTTAACACTAAAAAGCATATTTTTGTTTTCAGAAATGTTTACGATATAGCCAATTTTGACTTGTTCTGGCTGTGTTATCTAGTGGAAACCGATCACCTTTGTGCCAAAAATATCCATGGAATTTTTCCAGTAATTGTCTTCAAGGCTGATTTGTTCCATCACTCACAGCCGAAGATATGAACATTTAATATTCATCCAATGTCTGCCATGCTTCTGGATGACGTTGTCGATGCTTGCGCTTGCTCCAGTGTGCACTGAGTGCGAAGGTGTTATTGACTCTGTAAAGCAGATGGCAGCGACCACGAAACGGCATATGCGAATGTGAGGCCATGTTGGACAACGTCTCCAATTCATATATACCTCAGGGCTCGAGACCCTTCCACACAACTCTCCAAAACTAGGCCTACCCCAAACATGCAAAATGTAAACATTTTTTGGGCGTAATATTTTTTCTCTTGGATGATTTAGATATTTTTCAAATCGAGATAGTCTATAAATAAATTCAGCAGTGACCCTAGCTCTCAAGACCAGTTGATGGTATGGAGGACAGCTTGCTACATGTGAACTATCAAAGCTCTGTTGTAACGTTTATAAACATTCATTCTCCCTAGCGATACAGTTTTGGAAACCTCTGGAACGTAACTTTCCTATACAGTGCATTCGGAAAGTATTCAGACCCCTTGACTTTTTCCACATTTTGTTACGTTACAGCCTTATTCTACAATGAATTAAATGTTTTTTTCCCCTCATCAATCTACACACATTAACATCTAAACAGCCCTTGCCCAAAATGCCAGATGGCCAGGCCACCCCTGGTGGGCAGGGCTAAAAGAATGGTATTTGACCCTGCGCGTTAGCCTCTGTTCGCCGACAGATGAGACCGCCTCGCTGCTTTTTGCTACAGCTAGAACAAGTAGTATAATTTATTGATATTAACTTATATCAGAAATTTCAACCGGAGCAATCATATTTTACAATGGCTAGGTACATGAGGCCCCCTAACCCCTCACTCTTCATTAGAAACATCTCCGACGAATCCAGGTAGCTATGATTGAATCCTTCGCTTCGGGCGTGCGAGGTACAGTAGCTAGCTAGCTAGCTAGCTAGCTAATGTATGCTAGCGAGCAACATTAGCTAGGTGGCTAAACTGTGTTGTTGTTTACTGATTTTTGCTAGCTAGCATTTACGGTGCAAGCTTGTAGTTAAATGTTGTCAGCTGCTAGTTGTCTTTGTCTATGATGAGAAACGTTAACGTTAGTTGGATAGCTAACTAGCTATCTGAAAAAGTTAGCTACCTAAGCTTTGTATCAAAGCTACAGGCAGCTAAGCAGAAACGTTAGCATGTCTGCTAGGCTACATGCCATGAGTTTGCACCAAATAACGTTTGTCTACAGTGGTGTGTACAAAAACAGGAGAGTTGTTTGAACCAACTGTGAATAACCTAACTTAGCTGGCCATCTATCTACCTGCCACTGTTTCTGCTCTTTTGCCAACTCCATATCATGGAACTGGCTGAACCAGTACCTGGGTTTAACTGGCATGCATGCATGCCAAACGTGACAGGAGTTGGCATGATGGCACAAAGAGACTGGCACTCAGGCTACCGTCTACCTGGCTTGTGGTGCATTAAATAGTTATTGTCCAATGTCACATTTTATACCCCCATTTCTATGGTAAGTATTAAGCCAATTTAGTTGAATCTGAAGGTTCTCTTATTGGCCACAGTTGCAGGTTTGAACTTTGAATCACACTGGTCTAACATTAGCCTAAAAGGGGTGTATGTTGCTGGCCATTAGATTAAATGTCCTGTCATTTCACGACACTTTAGGCCAGAGGAACTACGCCGTGAGTTCGGTCGTTATGGGCCTATTGTAGATGTCTACATTCCACTAGACTTCTCTACAAGGCGACCAAGAGGATTTGCTTACATTCAATATCCTTTATACTCATGTAATGTATTAATGAACATGTCTTCTCATTCGGTGCTTTATTATTATTCACACATGGGGTCATATTGACAATGTCACACGTATTGAGTTTGCCTACTGTTTTGAAGTATTTATTGTATATTTGTCATAAAAGTAGGCTATACTGGTTTTATGGGAGGGGAACATTAACAACATTCGAACGCAGTAAAATGTGTACAAGCATTAATCAACATCTCCTCTCCTAACTAAAATTGCTTCTGTTACCCTAGAAATGTTAAAGACATACAGTTCTGGAGAAACCACAACAAAGAATGTAAAGACTGGCGTAGAGTAGTTTCAAGCCAAAGGGACCATAATGATTTCAGGCGACACGAAATAGTGGGAAAAGAACACAAAGAGCAAAGTTAAAGCATGAAGACACAAGGAGGAGAATAGAGAGCATGAAGGCTTCCATTTGTCTACCAAAGAGGAACATTTAAAGGATGTATTGGGTGAAGACAAGCCGGAAATCTCAAGTTCTTCTGCCAAGCAGTTAAAGAGCGTAAAAAGTCAAGCTGAAGATCAAAGGTCAAGCATGTTTAAAGGTGACAAGCTTAATGTTTTGTATCCTACCAAATAGAACCCTTGCTCTTCACCTCCAAATATTTTGCTCTGTGTGTTCTCTGTACAAAAGGACAAGAAAATCATATCAATTGTATGATAACTTTTTAATTATATACTAGATTACTGAAATAAGATTTCAATGATGCATTTGTATAGCCTTATTTCTCGTTACCCCCCCCAAAATTTCAACAGAAGTTTCATCTTCATGTTTTTAATATTTTAGCTTACTATTATCCCATGTTGGCACACAATTGACTTACCAATTGAAGCTTCTAGCCTCTATACTTCATTGTTTTAATACTTTTGTAGTTGTATGTGTGCTCTCCATGTCTCTCCATTTCCACACCCCCCTCCACAAGTGTAAGTAAAAAGCCTTAACAGTCTGTAGCACATTCGAGGACGTGCGAGATGCAGAGGACGCCCTCCACAACCTGGACCGCAAGTGGGTGTGTGGCCGACAGATCGAGATCCAGTTTGCACAGGGTGACCGAAAAAGTAAGACTGGATTTTATTTAGGTGCCCTGTATGAGTGCACTATTTACTGTCTACCAATCAATTCAACATGAAGAATTTCAAGTTTCACTGTCGTAACAGTTTACCCAAGAATATAAGTAGGAAAGTCTAACTAGGCCTACATCTTCACTTTTAGCGGCAATATCTTGACTCGGGTCTCTCAGACTAGTGAAATCATTGCCAACCTGCATGCAAAAGTATTTTTAAAGCCCTTGTTGCTCAACTATCCTTGTGCCCAGTATTTAATTTGAATGACTATTGTCCCTCCAGCCCCCAACCAGATGAAGACGAAGGAGAGCTCTCCTCGCAGAGGGTCCCGCAGCAGCTCCTTCTCCCGCTACGACGACTACGAACGCGGTGATGGCCGACGCAGACGCTCTCGCAGTCGCAGCTACGAAAGGCGCCGGTCACGCAGCCCTTCCTGCGACCGCCGTCCTCGGAGGTCGGAGAGCCCTAGAGAGTGAGTTCCTCTGTGACACTGAAACTAAACCACCGTTTCACTTGTCAAGTAATCCTCCCAAGGGGCTTTCATTGCAGACCGAAATGCCTTTGTATACAGACTGGTTCTTACTTTCACTTTTCTCTCTACAGCTCTCGATCATATGGCAGGCACAGGCGAAGCAGAAGCCATGAGAATGACAGGTAGACCAATATATACAACTCCGTATTCTGACTTACCTAACACTGCACAGTGCAATAAGATTGCATTTATACTGCATAGGCCTGTGTGGTTTCAAAACACTTTACAATTGTCAAGTCAGTGTATTCATTAATGTGTAGACTGATTCTTCTGTTCATATCCCATCGTCCTTTTTTTCTCCAGGTACAGGGGCCCTCCACGTGAACACAACAGGATGCACCATGCACCCCTGTCTCGTAACCGCTCCGCCTCCCACTCCCCCTCTCCTCCCAGATCCAGGCCCAAAGACGCAAAGTCCCAGTCCAAATCACCCAGCCCCGTCAAGGACTTCCACCCCTCTTCTGGCACCCAGAAACAGGCCTGTGGACGCTCCTACTCCAGATCCCTGTCCCGATCGCGCTCTCACTCCAGATCCTAGGACCTCACACCCTCAAACCCTGTTACTCTGTCGCTAAATATGTTTATGTTCAACACTATAACATATGAATATGGAGGCTAGTGAGTGGTTATTACACAATACCACCTCAGTTCATTAGTTGAGTTATCATGATATCTCTGGGCTGATGCCATACAACAGGAGAGCTGGTTGTCCCTACAGATGGATAGTAATTGTTAATGTTAGTTCAGTTTCATTTACCTCCTCTGAAGAACATTGGCTGTTTAATTTACCTTCATATTGGTTTAATTCTATTAATTGAACCCAATGATATTAAGTTCAGCACATTAGAATTGGTCAACTGTGTAAAATATGAAGGTACTGCTTGTTTTGGGCTAACAGGTATTCACCTCTGGCTACAGAACAGGTTGAGAGTGCAAAAAAACATAAGACGAGAAGTTATAAATCTGGAGTTTGCAGTGATATCTAGTCAAGTTTACTGTTATTATTTTTTTTACATTTGATATAGATAAAATGTCCAGCATTTTTTTAAAGATCAATTGTTTTTATTAAATATCCTGTATTATTGATACTCGTTTATTATTTTTAACTTTTCTTAATAATTTGGGTATACAAAGATATTGCTCCCTTTAAAGTAGGGTCGAGACACCGGACAGGTTGTTAGGTACATTTATCTATTACCGGGCCCCGCCCCCCCGGGGCATTCTACAAGGTGTCGTAAATGTTCCACGGGGATGTTGGACCATGCTGATGCAATGGCATAATGCAGATTGGACGGTGGGCGGTACATTCATGCTGTGAACAGCCCGTTCCATCTCATCCCAAAGATGCTCTTAAGTAAACTGAACTCGCTGTCATGTTCCAGGCGATGTTTTTCCACTCCTCAGTTGTCCAAGGTTGGTGATCGCATGCCCACTGGAGCCGCTTCTTCTTGTTTTTAGCTTATAGGCGTGGAACCCGGTGTGGTTGTCTGCTGCAATAGCCCATCAGCAACAAGAATCAACGAGTTGTGCGTTCTGCGTTGCCGTTCTGCTTTCACACCACTGTTGTACTACGCCGTTATTTGTCTGTGGCCCACCTGTTAGCTTGCACGATTCTTGCCATTCACCTTCGACCTCTCTCATCGAGTTTTCGCTGACAGAACTGCCGCTGACTGGATGTTTTTTGTTTGTTGCACCATTCTTGGTAACCCCTAGACACTGTTGTGCTTGAAAATCAGCTTGGGTCGCTTAGGTCACTCGTTTTGTCCATTCTCATGTTCAATCGAACAATAACTGAATGTCTCGATGCCTGTTTGCATGCTTTATATAGCAAGCCACGGTTACGTGACTCAGTTTGGAGGAGTGATGTATTTTTGTGAACGGGATGGTGTACCTAATAAACAGGCCGTGAGTATTGTTAAACAGTATTAAACCTACGTCTACATCTGACTTTTACCTTTAAACTTTTAAAATGTACATTATTGGAAGATTGCTGAGGGGACTTGCTTTCATTCAGCTACGAGCATTAGTGAGGTCGGGCACTGATGTTGGGCGATTAGGTCTGGCTCGCAGTCAGTGTTCCAATTCATCCCAAAGGTGTTCGATGGGGTTGAGGTCAGGGCTCTGTGCAGGCCAGTCAAGTTCTTCCACACCAATCTCGACAAACCGTTTCTGTATGGACCTCGCTTTGTGCACGGGGGCATTGTCATGCTGAAACAGGAAAGGGCCTTCCCCAAACTGTTGCCACAAAGTTGGAAGCACAGAATCGTCTAGAATGTCATTGGGCGGCAGGTAGCTTAGTGGGTAAGAGCGTTGCACTTCACCCTAATTGCTCCTGTAAGTCGCTCTGGATACGAGCGTCTGCTAAATGACTAAAAATGTTTTTTTTTAATTGTAGCGTTAAGATTTCCCTTCACTGGAACTAAGGGGCCTAGCCCGAACCATTATTCCTCCTCCACCAAACTTTACAGTTGGCACTATGCATTCGGGCAGTTAGCATCTCCTGGCATCCGCCAAACCAAGATTTGTCCGTCAGACTGCCAGATGGTGAAGTGATTCATATCCTACACGTTTCCACTTCACAATAACAGCACTTAAAGTTGACCGGGGAAGCTCTAGCAGGGCAGAAATTTGACAAACTGACTTGTTGGAAAGGTGGCATCCTATGACGGTGCCACGTTGAAAGTCACTGAGCTCTTCAGTAAGGCCATTCTACTGGCAATGTTTGTATATGGCGATTGCATGGCTGTGTGCTCGATTTTATACACCTGTACGCAACAGGTTTGGCTGAAATAGCCGAATCCACTAATTTGAAGGGGTGTCCACATACTTTTGTGTGTATATATAGTGTATTTACTAAGAATATTGTAACTGGCGATCAAATCAAATGTTATTTGTCACATGAGCCGAATACATCAGGTGTAGACCTTACAGTGAAATGCTTACTTAAAAGCCATTAACCAACAATGCAGTTTTAAAGAATACCCTAGAATAAAAATAAAATAATTAAAGAGCAGCAGTAAAATAACAATAGTAAAATAACTTTTCTGATGGGCACCATTATGGAAAATCTATCAGTTGCAGTTTTTCATTTGATATCGGTTTGTATAAAATACATTGCAATTTGCAACTGAGTGAATGTTAACTATTCTGTTCACTTCCACGGCTCTGTGAAGTCCAGACAACTGCTTGTTTGGGCCAAGTGTGAATGTCCTCTGTATCTCAGCTGGTAGAGCACGGCCCTTGTAACGCCAGGGTAGTGGGTTCGATCTCCGGGACCACCCATACACAAAAATGTATGCACGCATGACTGTAAGTCGCTTTGGATAAAAGCGTCTGCTAAATGGCTTATTATTATTATTATTATAGCATAAACCTACCTAACCAGTTTGAATACAATGGGAAATCACATCCAGTTGATGGCCCATCAGCAGGCTGCTAAGAGAGCGTCTGTGAGGGTGTTGTGCCTGCAGGAACAGTCGTGTGCTTTTTTACATAATCGTGTAGGTTAACAGGAAGAATAACCCGACTTAATAAGCCTAGCTGGTATCGATATCAAACGATACGAATATCATTCGAAATTATTAATGATGGAGCCGGCCCACCACTAACTGTTCGTTTGGAACGTCTAAAACACTTACAGTTTAGTTGAAAATGCGATGGAAACACATTGAACTTTAGATTTTTATTCGCAACAAATCAATTTGGTGGAAATATAGCACTTGTGAAAATGATGCGCATATTTGCTTTATGCGGATTCTACAATATTTGCATGAAAACCTTTCGCCAATTTGATGGAAACCTAGTTACTGGGGGTGGATAGGAAAGACAGTAAGATTTATTAAGATTTTACCAAACATGGTATCAAGAAAAAGATTAAACTAGCTGAAACGAGTCACCTACGATTCTCCACATGGCAGCTTCTAGTCATTGTTGCTAGCTAGCTATCTGGCCATCCAGAATCACAACACATGCACATCGTTTTTGTGACGACGTCAGCTAACCCGTCTATAACGGGGCTGACTTCTCACCTTTAGTCCTAATGTCATGAACTCGGCATCATCATTTCCATGTCTACCCCACAGGGTAAGGACTATATCCAGCAAAATCTGGAATGGTTCTGCTATTCCTTGTTTGTCCATATTTATATGCGATTTTATTATAGCCTTTGGTTCATGTCAATAAACAACAATTCAAATCAAAATAACATTTTGTCACATAAACTGAATACAACTGGTGTAGACTTTACCGTGAAATGCTTACGAGCCCTTCCTAACAATGAATTAAACAATAAAATAGGTAACACAAGGAATAATGGAGCCATACAGGGAGTACCAGTACCAGATCAACAGCTGAAGTCGGAAGTTTACATCCACTTAGGTTGGAGTCATTAAAACTCGTTTTTCAACCACTCCACACATTTCTTTTTAACAAACTATAGTTTTGGCAAGTCGGTTAGGATATCTACTTTGTGCATGACACTAGTCATTTTTCCAACAATTGTTAACAGACATTATTTCACTTATAATTCACTGTATCACAATTCCAGTGGGTCAGAAGTTTACATACACTAAGTTGACTGTGCCTTTAAACAGCTTGGAAAATTCCAGAAAATGATATCATGGCTTTAGAAGCTTCTGATAGGCTAATTGACATCATTTGAGTCAATTGGAGGTGTACCTGTGGATGTAATTCAAGGCCTACCTTCAAACTCTGCCTCTTTGCTTTACATAATGGGAAAATCAAAAGAAATCAGCCAAGACCTCAGAAAGAAAATGGTAGACCTCCACAAGTCTGGTTCATCCTTGGGAGCAATTTCCAAACGCCTGAAGGTACCACGTTCATCTGTACAAACAATATAGTACGCAAGTATAAACACCATGGGACTACGCAGCCGTCATACCGCTCAGGAAGGAGACGCGTTCTGTCTCCTAGAGATGAACGTACTTTGGTGTGAAAAGTGCAGATCAATCCCAGAACAACAGCAAAGGACCTTGTGAAGATGCTGGAGGAAACAGGTACAAAAGTATCTATATCCACAGTAAAACAAGTCCTATATCAACATAACCTGAAAGGCCGCTCAGCAAGGAAGAAGCCACTGCTCCAAAACCGCCATTAAAAAAACCAGATTACGGTTTGCAACTGCACATGGGGACAAAGATCGTACTTTTTGGAGAAATGTCCTCTGGTCTGATGAAACAAAAATAGAACTGTTTGGCCATAATGACCATCGTTATGTTTGGAGAAAAAAGGGGAAAGCTTGCAAGCCGAAGAACACCATCCCAAACGTGAAGCACAGGGGTGGCAGCATCATGCTGTGGGGGTGCTTTGCTGCAGGAGGGACTGGTGCACTTCACAAAATAGATGGCATCATAAGGGCGGCAGGTAGCTTAGTGGTTAAGAGCGTTGTGCCAGTAACCGAAAGGTCGCTGGTTCTAATCCCCGAGCTGACTAGGTGAAAAATCTGTCTATGTGCCCTTGAGCAAGGCACTTAACCCTAATTGCTCCTGTAAGTCGCTCTGGATAAGAGCGTCTGCTAAATGACTAAAATGTAAATGTAATGAGGAAGGAATATTATGTGGATATATTGAAGCAACATCTCAAGACATCAGTCAGGAAGTTAATGCTTGGTTGCAAATGGGTCTTCCAAATGGACAATAACCCCAAGCATACAGTCATGGTCAAAAGTTTTGAGAATGACACAAGTATTGGTCTTCACAAAGTTCGCTGCTTCAGTGTTATGAGATATTTTTGTCAGATGTTACTATGGTATACTGAAGTATAATTACAAGCATTCCGTAAGTGTCAAAGGCTTTTATTGACAATTACATTAAGTTTATGCAAAGAGTAAATATTTGCAGTGTTGACCCTTCTTTCTCTGCAATCCGCCCTGGCATGCTGTCAATTAACTTCTGGGCCACATCCTGACTGATGGCAGCCCATTCTTGCATAATCAATGCTCAATGGGATTAAGGTCTGGGGAATTTCCTGGCCATGGACCCAAAATTTCGATGTTTTGTTCCCAGAGCCACTTAGTTATCACTTTTGCC